CTCTTCCACACAGGTGATCCTTCTATTTTTCCCATGATCTGTGTACGGCCATTTCTATTATCCCTTTTGTCTTCTAGCTCAGCTTTTGGGCAGGATTTTTTGGTTTTAATCTTCCTGTCTCTTGCTTCTGCTCATGTCTTTCCTGTGGATGAGTAAGGGTTATGTCTCTTTCTGTCCATTGGTTTGTAGAATAGTAATCTTAATCTGCTCTATACTTCCCATACCTGGATGTTCTGCCTGAAGAAAAGAGAGGTTTTGTGCAATGAAAAAAATTCCGCAGAAGTGGTAGGGGAGAAAGGAGAGGGAGAGCTTGCAAAGGAATCCTGGAAGAAAGTCAGATATTCCTTAATCCCTCTGCAGTCAAGTGGAAGCCTTCCCTCACAGACTTCTGCCTCTGCTTTCACTCTTCCATGAAACACAGGGCCTGGGAAAGCCCTACACTCGGCTCCCAGAACAGGCGTCTGAGTCCCTGCCGTGGCCCTGGGCTTCAGTACTGTCCTAAGAAGACAGGCCTAGGGGCACCTGGGTGTCTCAGTCAGTTAAGCGTCTGACTGTGGCTCAGGTTATGATCTTATGGTTCGGTTTGTGGGTTTGAGTCCTGCATCGGGCACTGTGCTGACAGCTCAGAACCCGGAGCTTGCTTTGGATTCTGTGTCTCCCTCTCTTTCTGCCCCTCCCCTACTAATGCTCTGTCTCTCTCCCTCTCTCAAAAATACACGTGAGAAATTGTTTTAAAAATCTGCGTTTTCTTTCAAAAGGTCAGAAGACACTTAAGAAATTTAAAGGGCAGGTGCCAGGCTTTTTAAAAATTTAAAAAGCAGGGGTCCCTGGGTGGCTAGGTGAATTGAGCATCCAACTCTTGATTTCAGCTCAGGTCATGATCTCACAGTTTGTGAGATGGAACTTTACATCAGGCTCTGTGCTGACAGCATGGAGCCTGCTTAGGATCCTCTCTCTCCCTCTCTCTCTCTGCCTCCCTCACTCATGTGCACGTGTGCATGCACACACTCTCAAACTAAATAAATAAATATTTAAAAAAAAAAGATTCTCTCTCTCCCTATGCCCCTCCCCCATGCTCTCTCTCTTAAAATATTGTTTTTAAAGGCAGTGGGACTAATATTAAGTACAAACACAGTGGTGTGGCTTTGAGAACCAGAAATACCAGCAATTGTAGTGGCCCAGTTCTTCTGTCTCTTGGCAACCATTACGTCCATCCCTACTGGCTACCGATAGCACCGGTATGGGCTCCTCCCATTGCTAGAATTTGGTCACAGTTGAGGTCTTTTTTCCTCCGACACCACCCCCTCCATGCCAGATCTCTCTGATCCTAATAGGACCTCACCTTTCTTCACCTGTTCCTGTGCCAAAGCAAAGGATTTCATTGGCTGTTTCATTTACCTTCATGCCTCCTGCTACCTCTCACTGGTAGTACTGGCTGTACCTTTTTGAGTCTCTGCTGGAAGAAGCAGTCATCTGAAGATGGGATTCAGTGAACAATAGCCCAGGAGCCCAGCTTCCCACCCGCCATGAACATCAGCATTTCTTCTTAGATCCTAGGAATGGGGGAGGGGTGTGAGTCAGCCGGAAAAGGAACCGAGATACTGAAAATTCCATTCAGTCCTTACCCCGTGGAGGGACTGTATACTGTAGACCACCATCGCTTTGTCCTGGCCATGCCTCCCCCAGGACTGGCAGGAGAGGAGCCTGACGCTTCTCTCTAGTCTTTCAGGCTGCGAGTGGAACTGTCCCTGGTGACAAGCTCACGATCACAACATCTCCTTGGGCCCCTGGTTTCCTTGTGCCTAGGGATGGGTGGGTGGGGCCGAGACCGAAGGACATCGCTGACCAAAATACGGACACCCAGTATGACGCTCATGGCACCCACAGTGACCAGCCCAGTTCCACCGAGGATGACCAGAGCAGGAGGCACCTGGTGTTGCTGCCGGATCAGCCACAGACTCATCCACCCCAAAGGCACCAGGCGGAAGAGGGCCAAGGTGGCCAGGGTGGCCCAGCTGGCCATGCTGAAGGCCAGGGATGGGGCCTGGTGGGAAAGCAGCAGCAATTTTCGTAGGTGCAGGCAGGCGGAGTTCAGCTCCAGGAGCAGAGACACCATAGAGAGGCCTACATAGTGGCTGGACAGAATGGCGGTGCTGAGGCAGCTCACTACCTGGGGAGCAGGGGTCAGAGGTCAGAGGACCTTCCGTGAACTGTTGGCCATCATGTGCCAATATCTCCATCCCGAAGACAGGGGCTCCCAACCATTTTGTGGTATGCTATCAAAAACCTGCCCTTTATGCTTACTTGGGGCCTGAACAGCCTTAAGATCACCCTTCCATAATAACTATCTGCACAGTACATCCCATCCCCCCCCAATTTCCAATCCTGGGTTTTCATGCCCCATCCATCCCCACTCCCTATACTGGGACGCCCTCTTCTCAGAAAATCTCCCTATTCAACATTTCTGCAATCGACAGGACACCTGAGGGAATCCAAGCTACCTAGGCAGTGTTCAGACTCCAGCTGTGGCTAGCAGCCAATCCTCCCCCCCCCCCCAAACCAGCCCAAGGTTCGGAGGATGAAGCACCAACAGGGTCAGAGATTCTGGGAAGTCACTGGACAGGAACCTGAAGAGAGATTGAGGACCCCAGCCTGAGCATACCACCCTGCCTGTCTCCCCTTCCCCAAGTCTCACCACCAAATGATGACAGAGAAGTTCCCAGGCCTGGCCCAAGGTCTGGTTCCACAGCATGTCAGCTCCATCCGCCAAGAAATAACCTATGGGGCACGGTATGAGGGACAGGGCCATTAGGCCCTCCCCAAGTTGTTGTACTTCCTGGAGAGGAATCTCCATACCCTCCTTTTTCCAGGTCTTTAGTTTCTTTCAGCAAAGCTGCCAGAAACATTTGACACCTGGGGACCTGGAATTACCATTGGAAGGTTGCTCCCCGCCAAACCGGCCCAGCCTTCCCTGCAGACTCACCCACGGACACAGCCACCAGCACCAGGGCCCAGAGCGGGTGGCCGTGAATCGGGTCGGCAGCCATCTGAGGGTACAGCGAGAGCCTGTAGGAGATGGGGGACCATGGTCGGCATCACGCAGACTCAGACGCCATTCTCCCGCTGTGCACGCTCACCCACCCATTCACACCCCCCACTCAGTGTCAGACTTTCAGGGTCCCGCTTCAAGGGCGTGGAGCCTACTTAAAAAATAAGAAAAGAAAAAAAAAAGTGTTGTGTAAGGTCCCGCTTCGGTTCTTGAAGGTGCCCGTGTGGGTCTTCTCATCGCAGCCTTCGACCGCTCACCCTCACCCCGGTGCCTACCCGACCGTTAAGCCCCGCACCCGAGCAGCGCCCCGACCCCTGTGAGCAGGCTGTGCACCAGGGAGACACAGATGTTCCGCCACTTCCAACGGTCCTGGGCGGCAGATCCCGGCGTGGGCAGCAGCTGCAGCGCCCAGTGCAGCCCCCGGAAAGCGGCGAAGGAGGCGCCAGTCACAAGGAGCCCCCAGGGCGCCATGGCCTGACAGGTCTGATTTAGTAGTCCCTTGGGCGCCGGCGCTCTCAGCCAGGACGCACCCACTGTCAGCTGCGGGGGTTGTGAGTTGGTTTTCGGACCAGAGTGGGTCCTTGGCTTCTCCAGCCCACCTCGCCTTTGGAATCTGCTTTAACTTTCCTAGGCTTCGGCCACGCCCCCATCACTCGGCTAGGTGGTGATTGGAGCAGCCGGGGAGCCACGCCCCGGAGCCACCGCCACAGATCCCGTCCCGCCCTAGCGGGGGATGGAGGGGGGGGGCTCCCGGAGACCAGGCCTTGCAACGGAGCTCAGGGGGGACCTCCAGGATGTCGATGGGGGGGGTCTTCCCCAACTCCTGTGCCCCGAACCCCTCGGAGCTCCCGAAATCGGTCACCAATCTCACCTGACACTCCCAGAGGCCCCGCCCCATTGTCTTTCACCTCGTCTCCCTGCGCTAATCTCTCACCTGCCGGGCATCCCTCCGTTGGCACCCTCACCGACCTGAAGGTAGAGGCCAGCGCACACCCACTCCCACTTGCATAAACATCGCCACCGCACTGCCCCGCCTCACCCACCCCGTCCCGGCTGTGGGGGTACCTCGCTTCCTGGGAGCCACCCTTTCCACTTCCCGAGGTTTCCAGACCTTTAACGCATCATAGCAACCCTATTGATTCCAGCAGTCCCGTCTCCTTACGCAGTACCTTCAAATGCAACAGCAGCTCCCATTTTGGAGAAGCGACCCGCAAGGGACTCCTCCCCCTAACCGTTTTTGAGGGCCCCACAGAGGACCCTGGCTATTAGGTGGGGAGGGAAAAGGAAACCATTCAGCTGTTAAGTATGGAAAAGCAACCCCACCCCCACCCCCCCGCCCCAGGCTTGGTACTTGTTAGGGGAATAGAATTCTCCCTTTCAATATGAGGCGGCAAGGAGAGGTCACGCAGGGTCACCTCCAGGTTGGGGGGCAGAGTCAAAGAGAAAATCAAAGACCCATAGGATTCTAGAACCTTTCAGCCTGGAGATAAAATCTCTCCCCACCCCCCATCTTCCATCTCCTGAAGAGTGACAGGTTTTTACTGTTTTCCTTACTCCACGCCACACCTCTTCAGCTGGCTGAAAGCCAGCAATTCAGAGAGCTGTTTCCCGTAGGTGGAGAGGGTAGATTCCAGCTACTTACTCCTGGAGAATGAAGTTCTTCACATTCTCACAACCCTTTTCTTCGCCAAAACCCCATCACGTCCAAGGGGTAGGGGCATCCCTTCATTCCTCCACACCTACCTCTCCAAAGTTTTCAAACAATTACACTGATTCTTTTAAATTTTATTTATTATATGAGAACCGTACACAATGCAAAAAATTTTTAAAATAATAGAAAGCCAAAGAGGAAAATCACAATGATTTTGTTCCACCGTCCAAAGATAATCGCTATTACTAACATTTAAGAGTGATGTCCTTGGTCTTTATCTGTTTTATATCTACAGTATACACATATTAAAAAAAAAAAAGTTGAGATCACATTATACACACTATTTTTATAACCTTTTTAATATTCAAAGAGCATTTTTCTTTCCAGTCAAATGTTCTTCTACATGACTTCTAATGGCTGTGCAGTACTCCACCATCTGGATGGATATACAATGATTTACTTAAGCAATCCCCCATTGCAAATTTCCATTACAGCAAAAAAGAAATGAATTCCCAATCAGCCAGTTGCTTCTCATTTTTTTCTACTGCAATGCTGGGGTGAGCATCCTGTAACTAAGTCTTTAATTATTTTCTTAGGATACATTCCCAAATGTAGAATTACTAGGTCAAAGGCGACGGAAACTTTGAGTGTTTGACACCTACTACCAAACTGACATCCAGGAAGGCCGTACCAATTTGCACCCCCATATGCAAGGTACGGGAGAGTTATTTTAGTACTCCTTTGCCAATACTGGGTCTTTTTTAAAAATTTTTAAAATATAGTTTGCAAAGGGAAAAAGGCTTTCAGCTATGTTTGTCTTTAATTACTAACGAAACACACATTGTTTTCCATGGTTTTATCCATTTGGATTTCTTCTATGAATTTCCTGTGCATGTCCTTTCACAGCTGGTTCCTGCTCCTTGAAGCTGCTGTATATAAACACTATAGGGTAGGGAGGTACACGCAGGAGGATGAAGCAACAGGACATTTTAACACAGTCTCAGATCTCAGAGGGAGGTAGTAACACTGGAGAGAAATAGTGAATGAAGCTGATGGCTGGGAGCTTGTCCTTGATGGAGGCTGGCTGTCCTCCCTCCTCCGGGGTTGCTCCTGGCCTTTATGGGCCCCCTCTGCGGGGTGCCCAGACAGGGCCCTGTGCTCTCCGGGCCTCATCCTTCACTGGTCCTCTGCCTGCCTCCGTGTTCCCAGGCTGCTCTCCTCATCTCTGCTCCATGATGGGTGAGGACGGCAGAGCCACATACCCAGGGCTGGAGGGAGACGCTGTGGCCAGTGAAACGGAGAGGGGAAGAAAGGACGGAAGCAATGTCCAGGGACAGAGCAATCTTTGTTGCAGCCTATGAGTGGACTCAGTCTACCCACCCCCTCCACCGCAGTCCCACACACATCCAGCCTAGGCTGCAGAGGGTGGGGTCAATGATCTACTCTCCCCTAAACCTCTCCCATAAATGGAGAATAGGACCCAGCTACCTGTACATCTTGTGCCCCACAACAGGACAGCTTTCTGCAGCCCCTGAATCTGGCCACCTTCAGGCACAACTACTGGGCCGCGGTTGAACCACACCAGAGCCTGGGCCCCAAGAGTTCCACTGCATCAGGAGCCAGGGGTGGTAGGTTTGCACAGCTTGATGCCCCAAAGGGGGTCACATCCCACGCCCCATCTCTCCCGGTTGCTGGAGAAGAGCATTTCCTGCCTGCACAAGCCTAAGCTGAGTCGCACAAATTATCCTGGAAGGTAACGTGGGGGAAGAAACAGAGGACCAGCAGTTGGAACCCCATCAGGGGCTGCAGTCCTGGCTCGGCTGGCAGAGGAAGCCTGGGGCCACCTTGGCATGGGGGGAAGTCAAGGCAGAGACTGAGCTCCTCCTGCCCCCAGCATTGGTCTAACCCTAGCCCCCTCCGTCTAATCCTCCCCCCACCCCCAGCTCCTGGGGCTGTGTTGGTGAGGGATGGGGGAGGGGCAACAGCTTCTGTGAAAAGCTGTTTTGTTCCCACCCACAGGGAGAGGACAGCCCAGGCTCGGAGTCAGCACAGTAGGCTTCTGATTCGCCCCTGCACACTCAACTGTGTGATTCTGCATCTCACAGGCGGAGAAGCTGAGACAAGGGGTCCAAGGGTCCCGCATATAGGTGATTATCCCCGTATGCAGAGTCTAGGCCAGTCTGAGGAAATACAGGGAAAGCTAAGAACATGGACATGACTACTCAGATGGGAGTTTCGGTATGACCCTTTCCCTGAAGATGAAATTTACTTTGGACCTCACCTGGAGAGGCAGTAGGAAAGAAAGGGAGACAGGAAGGAGGGTCAAGAAAGACATCTGAGTAAAGGCGTAGGCAGTTTTCTTTGCTCCCATTGTCTTCCCCTTGTCACACCGATGCAGACCAACTAACCTGGGGTAGTCACAGCCATCTTGCCCCCAATCCAACTAGGGCCTCTATCTAAAACTGTTCTGTCTTGCTGGGCCAATCTGGCGGAAGGGTCTCCAACTGAACAGGGTTCCCCTTCCCGAAAGGTATCATCATCACTCCCGCTGTTTCGACCTTCCCAGCCCCAGTTCTGTCACCTTCCAGATGAGGGGGAAAGCAGCTCCTTCTCCTCTTCCTCCTCCTCCTCGAAGCCAGGGGCAGAGGGCAACAGTTCTTCAACTGGCAGCTTTAGCTGGGTCAGGACATAAAGCTTGCCACTGAAGAACTACTGCGGCTCAGCCAGTTGAGGATGTGGGAGGGACAGGCTCCTAAAAGGAAAGGGAAGAAAAATGGGAAGGATCTGAGCAGAGCCATGTCACAGGGACACCGTCCCACTGGCCATCAAAGTCCAGCTCCAACAGACGCTCAAGCTTGTCACAAAGGGTTCCTGGCTCTGACTTGGGCCTGCAATAGCGATTAACTTCAGTGAGAAGCAAGGGGCAGCTCTATACATACTTCCTTGCACCTCTTTCCAGAACTGAAGGCTGTAGAGACCCAGGCCTGCTCTCACTCCCGCTTCCCCCGCCCATCCACGGAGGGCCCAGCCTCTTCAGCATTCAGAGAGGGCAGGACTTAGAATCTTGGACACATCCCACCAGTCACCCAGGCACTAGGTGAAGAGTTGTACCTTAGGTCCAGAAATGTGAGTTCAGTGATCAGCCCAACTGACTTGTTCCTAAGGAGTTCAGCTGGGAGAGTTTTGGGGGCCTACATCTGGGGAAGAGCAAGGAAGTGTTTGGAAGGTCAGCAGAGGCTCCAGGGACTGTGAGGAGAGGACAGGGGACCTAAGGCTGGAGGGGAGGGAGGTATGGGCAGGGTGGATGGGCAGCTTCCCCAAGACTCTCAAATGCCAGGCATTCCGCTTGCGCATTCCGGGTACATCTAGTATGAATTCCAGGCTGTCTGCCGGCCCCTCCATGTCTGAACTTTGTTCCAAGTTCCAAGCCCCGCCCCCACAGTTCCAACGCATGAATCAGCAGGAAAAGCCGGGCCCTGCAGCATGGCCTAGGGAGGGGGCTGGGGGCGTGGCAGGCTAGAGGGCTGTGAGCTGGGGAGGGCGGTCCTGTGCTGACACTCAGTCCAAGGGCATGGCCCATGCCAGTGTGAGGGGCCAAGGCGATCTTGCCTTCAGACTTCTATACTCAGAGGGTAAGAAAGATTAGGGTGGGGGTGGGAGGTTTTCAGATTACAAAACCCTCTTGGGAGGCATGAACTTTGTGGTATCTTCCTTACCCCAGGTGACCAGTCCAACTCCTTCCCACTCTCCTCTGTCTGAGCCAGCTAGCTCTGTTCAGCCCGTAGGACTCAGCGGCTGCTCAGAGTCTGTGCCAAGCAGGTGCCCTTGGCTGCAGGGCGGGGTGGGCCCAGGGCACTGACCCTCTGACCAGCTGCTCCATCAACCCTTTGGCACCCTGACAATTCCTAGCCCAGTCTGACAGCCAGGATGACAGGCCAAATGAGTTGGAGGCTGTAACTAGGGCCGGAGGGAGGTGGGGGCGATAGCCTAGCGAGAGGCCATAGGGAGGGGCCAAGAGTTGGCCGAGAGGTGGGGAGAGAGGGAGCCCAGTGATGACTAACCCAGGCGCCCCACCCAGCCAGCCGGCTTCCCAGGCGGTCAGGGCCAGGCCTGGGCTAGGGGCCCCACAACCGGACATGCTGGGGGGAGGTGCAGAGGTGACCTTCTCTGGGCCCAAGACGGCCAGTTAGGCTGGGGAGGGGGGGTTAGAGTTTCCAGGTCCTCCTCCAGCCCGCTTCCCCCACCAACCGCGGTGAAACCCTAACCTTTGGGTTGCATAAGGCCCCCGCACCGCCGCCCCCTACTCCTCTCCCCTCCCCCCTTACATAACATCCCCAGGAGGGAACGAAGAGGAGGGGCCGGCCCGCCCAGAGACCCCTTCCCTGCCAGGGCGCTCAACTGGCCCTGACCCACTGACTGCCAGTAAAGGAAAACTACCTCCCCGCTACTCGCCGGGTCCAAACCCTCCCCAAGCTAGGAGGCCAGTTCTCGTATCCTCCGACCAGGGGGTGCCCAGGTTAGCTGCCCCCAGCCCTCCAGCCCCTCGTCTCCCTTCTAGACAGTCTGCAAAACCTCCCGGCACTACTGCTGTTCCGGGCTCCTTCTTTAAACCTCCTGCCACACTCCTCCAGTCAGTTCAAGCCCCTCTGCCCCAAAGCTCCCCTGCCCCCGCCGCCCCCTCTCCCCTCCCCCGGAAGGGCAGGGTGTGGCCACCAGGTCCCTACTTTCCCCTGTTACCCTGTTACCACGGTTCCCTCCTGTGCGGTGGGGACCCCAGCTCACACCCACCTGGTGCTGGGTGGGGGGGCTGCTGAGGGTAGGGGAGCAAATCAGTGCGTCCGTTCCCCACGGCCGGCGGCGCTGTGTCTTCCCTGCGCCCAGCACACACCGGCTCCAGTCTCCGATCAGCTGGCGGCGTCGTGACGCACAAGCTGCGATTGCACCGCCCAGGGCCAATCACCGCCCACTGTTGGGCAGCGTGACCACACCCACTCAGGGGCGCCTGCACTTTGCCCAGGTCCCGCCTCTCCGGCCGTCTCAGCTCTGATTGGCAAGGAGGCCACCCCTTTGCCCGGCGGAGCTGGGCTAGGCCACGCCCACCAACTCACGAGCTCGCCAATAGGTGAAAAGGTGTGGCTGAGCCCTACGCCTAAGGCAGCTTGCTTTGAGGAGCGCTACGTCAAACCCGAGTCCTAAAGAGCAGAAGGAAGTAAAGGCGTGTGTGTTTGCAGTGCACACTGGTCAATGTAGTTCTCGGTCTTGGCACCTCGTTCCCAGAATCCAGCGCGCTCTGTGAGTTGGCATTTTTAAACTCCTCTCCTTAGCCTTTAAGGGCTAAGTCCTTAAAGGGCTACAGCCCCCTCCTTTTTGGGGCCGTGCGTGCTTGTTTTAAACTACCCCAAAATGGAATCGTTGACCTCTGCGAATGAGGCGATAGCTCTCTAGGGAAAGGTGGAGCAGGCGAAGCAAGAGTGGGTGGACTGAAGGTGGAAATCAGCCTCCCGGCCAGCAGACTCTGCCATTGGATGAGGACTCTGGAGGGCTTTTGGGGGGAGGGAAGACTGTCCACCTCGACTAGTCCCCGCTTTCACTGGAGAGATCTAGTCCCCCCTCCCCTGACGGGCTCTTACTAACCAGGAGACTTTTCTTGTAGAGTAGGTCTCGTCCCAGTCGCCTGGAGGCCGAGCCTCTCAAGCAGCAGCTTCCCAACAAAAGATTCATAGTACAGTCCTCACCTGAGGGTAGAAGCAAGACTAGTGGTCGGACCCTAGGGGAGGGGTCGTGCCAGAGTGTCAACTGGTAAGCTACCCCAACCTCCGCCTAATACCCCTATTCTGTCCCGCCCTCCAGAAGCCTTTCACTGACTCAGGCCTGCTTAGGAAGAGATTTCAAAGGTGGAGACCAATGGGGAGGCTGCTCCTTTCCCCAGGGGCCAATCAGAGCCTAGGGGGGCGGGCGATGGGCAAAACGAAGAGGAACCCAATGACTTGGCAAAAGCTACTGAACCGCTTTTTTAAAGGGGCAAGTCTGGGACCCTTCGCTATTTACCACCCCCCACCTACCCACCCAAAAAAGAGGAACATGTGGACAGGGATCCGTAACTTTTCCATAGACTCCCAATTGAGTATCAGAGTAACTGAGCCTAAAGGATCAGCCTGGGGTGAGAGACAGTTCCTCGGTTTAAAATAGCGGCACCGCCACTTAATTGCTGTGGTTCCTAGGAACTCCAGAATTCCGAGCCTGTGTTCAGAACAATGTGCCTTTAAGGAAACTTCCTGCCTTCCACCCCAGTAACAGCTGATTGCTGGAAAGTGTGACCTCAGGGGACGAATCAGCTGTTACCACATCCTCCTCCTGGCCTGCCCTCCTCCATCCCCTTATCCCCACCCCACCCCCCACTCTGCCTCCGCCCCAATCCTCCTGGGTCTTCTGGAAAGGAAGGAGGTGGAACCCCAAATATGGGGGACCTGCTTGTGTGTTCTTTCCTCGTTCACTCCAAGACTACCTCCCTCCCTCCCCCCATCTGTTGGTTAGCTCTTCAGAGGTTCTGAGCTTGGAACGAGAGGTATTTCCTGTCTGCACAGTCAGATCACACTCTACTCATAACCGTTTTCCCAGGTCTAGAAGGAGGCCAGTATTGGGGAGGCTCAGAATGGTGGCTGGCTGGGTGAGTGGGTGCTCCAGGAATGGTGCTGGGGAAGGTCCAGCAAAGCTGCAAACCAAGCCCAGAGGAGAGGAATAGCCGTGGAAAGAATGCCTCCTGGGACGAGAAGGCTGCTCCGCAGGCCATTTGCCCCCTACTCCTTACTCAAGTTGCCCTGTTCCTTCCCAGACTGGGACTAGCTGAGGGGACTCTTTTGGCTTTGCCCATTCACTCCACTTCTAATTTAGATGCCACTTGGCCCTTGTTGTATTTACACGGTCACTTTCCACAGCAGGCGTGCTAATGAGCCTGCCAGGGGCTGCGAGTGGAGTGCACTGATCCCAGGAACCAGAGGCTTTGACTGGTAAGTCCTGCAGGAAGACCCAGGTAAATATTTTTACCCCAGCCCTGAGCTGGGAGTCAGGGTCATTCCAGGACAAGCTTAGTGTGAAGTCCCAGGACTGACTTGGCAAGGTTGGGAGAAACTGAGCAGGGCCTTGGCCAGGCTTGGAAGAAAGAGAAACCTCACTAGCTACCCCCATTATCCATTATCCTTACCATGGAAGTCTCATCCCCTTCCTACCCAAGGCCCCGGGAGTAGGCCCGTCTCCCTTTTGTTCTGCTAACTCTCCATCCCCCTCACCCCTCCCACTTCATAGGGCAAAAGCACAGGCTTTGAGTCCAGGGTTTCTCAACCTCAGCACTACTGACATTTTGGACTAGATAATGTCTGGTTGTGGGGGCTGTCGTTTGTCACATATTAGCAGCATCCCTGGCCCACTAGATGGAATTAGCGACATCCCCACCCTGCATTTATGACAACCATGAGGGTCTCAGGACATTACCAGATGTCCCCTGGGGGCCAAAATCTCCCCCAGTTGAGAACTACCGAATTAGACAAACTTGGATTCAAATTCCAGCTCTTACCAGCTCTGAACTTGATGAAGATGCTCAACATCTCTGCACTTCAATTTCCTCATCTACAAAATAGAGTGAATAATAAATTCATAGTTTATTGTAGGGATTAAAAAAGGATTATTTTTTTAATTAAACTTTTAAAAAATATTTATTTTTGAGAGAGAGGGAGAGCACACATGAGGGGGGAGGAACAGAGGGAGAGGGGACAGAGGATCTGAAGAAGATCCTCTGAAGTTCAAGGGTCTCGAACTCATGAACGGTGAGAACGTGACCTGAGCTGAAGTTGGATGCTTAACCTACTGAGCCACCCAGGCGTCCCTTTCAAAATGGATTGTGCTTGAAAACACCTAGCACAGTGTCTGGCCCACTGGCCCACGGCTGGTGCACCAAATGTTAGTTTTCTTCACTTTTCTCCCTGCCAGATCAGCAAAAACTAACCTCACTCAGCATGGGCTGACTGCTGGGGCAGCTGCAACTTCCCTCCTTGACTATCCAAGCCATGACCTCCCAGGAAACTCAATATTGAGGTTGGCGAAAAGGAGTGGCTAATTCGGTCCCAGATTCCCCAAAGCCCAAGGGTGCTTGGGTTGGGATTCTGGGGAAATATGGGAATTGAACTGTTGCGGAGCATTATATCAAGATGTGGCCTGCCAATTGCCTGCATCAAAATGAACTGGGGTGCTTGTTAAAAATTCGGATTCTTGGGTCTCCCTCTGGACTACTGACTCAGAAGTACGTCATAAAGTTTGAAAACCACTGTACTAGACCTCGGGTTGGGGAAGGTGTCAGTGCCCCAGAAATCTTAGAGCCCAGCATTGTAAGGACATCCTATTCAAGGGAAGAATAGAATCCTTACGGTTAGTTACACTCAAGGTCATTGTTGTATTGCAAACCCAAACCACTAGAGGGCAGGACATATACCAACTTGCAGAAAGAAAAAAGTAGCGCCTATTCAGACTAGGTAAACAAACCAGAGCCAAGGCCAGGTGGGCCTCATTTTATTGATACTAAGACGCAGGCACTACCTAGTGACCACCAAAACCCGTTCACTGGCCTCAGGTACTCAGACCAAAGTTTGGGATGCGAGATTGTCAAGGAACACCGCATTTCTCAGGTGAAAAAAATCAAACTTCGTGGCCAAGGAGCACAGTGAACATTGGTTTTCGAGTGAGATAGTTTGGGTTTGAATTTTGGCTCTACCAGTTCTTAGCAATGTGACCTTGGGCAAGTTGCCTAAAGTAGTCAACTTCCTCATCCTAAATGGTTATAAAAATATCTTCTTAAACAAAACAAGATATGCAAGGTGTTAGCAGGGTGCCTGGCTCCTGATCAGTGCTCCGTGAATGATGGTTTTAGGTTATTACTGCCCAGGGCCATGTGACCAAGCACATCCGGGGCTCCCACTGTTTCTTCAAGAGGATACAAATGGGATCAGATCATAGCTGAACCATTTGCTTCCTCTCTAATTAGGACTGTAGTTTTTCTTTCTTTCTTGTTTTTTTATTAAAAAGCTTTCTAAGTTTTACTTATCTATTTTGAGAGAGAGAGAGAGAGCCTGAGCAAGGGAGAGAGAGAATCCGAGGCAGGCTCAGTGCAGTGCAAAGCCCAATGTGGGGCTCGAACCCATGAACCATGAGATCAGGACTGGAGCCGAAATCAAGTTGGATGCTTAACTGCGTGAGCCACCCAGGGGCCCCAGTCCTGTAGTTTTTCTTAAGTGCCTTTATGGATTCCCCACATCTCTAGACCAAAGTCCTACCTGAGGCAAATCTTGTAGGGGCGAGACTCAAAACAGCCAGTGGCTTTACGACAATGTCCTATCTGTCCTGCAAATGAGTCAGAACTGAGATCCCGGGAAGATCTCAGTTTTGGCACCAGCTGTCTGGTTTCTGCTCCTTGTCCTCAGCTGCGCTGTCCCCCCAGCCAGGGTAGCAACTGCAAGGCTCTGACCACAGCAGGCAGGCTCTGGCACCTGAGGCAGATCTTCAACGGGAAGTCTTGGGGCAACATCTCCTCCCAAGAACTACAGGGCTTCTGGGCCTGGGCCACTTCTCTCCCTCTCAGATCGCTCAGAATTTGAAAGAGAGAAAGAAGGAAAGAGCCCTGAGAGAGCTGAGGACTGTAGGGCAGAAAGTGTGCACACCAGCTTCTAGGTTGCCATTCTGCCACTTGGGCAAGTCTCTTTGGTGGGTCGTGGTTATCACTTGTGAAATGGAAATAGTATGAACTGTCTTCTGTATTTCGGGGGGTGTTGTAAAGGCCAAATGGAATGTTACTGATTAAATGTGTTGGAAAATTCAAAGCTCCTTCACTT